TGGTAGAAGGCCCAGTTTATGATCCGTTAAGATAGTCGTACCATTGTTTTTTGACTTCTGTTGCGAAATTTATTTTGGTCGTTTTGCTGTTGATCTTATTCGACAGGTTCTTGACTATTTCCCTGAAGAAATGCTGAATGTTCGGTCCTTTTCGAGTTTTGCAGGTATACAACTGTGGCCACGTGAATGATTTCTGTTGACATGTTTTCTATCCGTGTTCACATCAGAGATGTGATTTGACGCACAAAATCGTCATTGTACTATATTTGACGTTAATATCCGTTCATAAAAATGCGTTTTTTGAGTCCAGTGGCGTCCTGAGCCCGCGACTAAGGATGATTATGATACACTCAGTTGCAGATGAGAATAAGAAATGTATATCACTTGCGATTTGCACTGTTCCCCTGTTTCTGGAGGCCTAAGAGAGGCTTTCTAATACCTAGCCGGTCAGGGCGTCGTATTATGGTACTATATCGATGCAAAGCCGTATATCTTCTTTAGATCGAAAAACAGTTTGATTTAAGCACCAATGATTATATTCGGGAATGGTAAAATCAAAATTTAAAGTGGCCTGATTAAATGGTACCCAGTGGTTTTGCTCGAGTGTCCAAAAATATTTTTTACATACTACACCGTTTTAATAAATCAGTTATTATAATCGGGTCAGCATGAACTTTGACATAGCGTAACGCTGTCAGAACAGAACATCATTATGTCTGTATTGCCCGTTGACCATCTGCCTATTTATCGGCAGATTGCACCAGTAAATAATTTGGTCAAGCGAACCACTATCTTTCCCCAACCTGCCTGAAGTGACGCCTGCTACGTTATGCTTCAGACATTTGTTTCTTGTGAAACCAGTTTTTAGGAGTATTTAATATTTATAGAGTTTAGATTTTCGATAACGACTTTGTCGTAAGAAGCCGACGGTTGATCGCTGATAATCCTATTCCTGAAGTCGTCCCAGAACCGCCAATGCACATGGTGTTGTCGGCCATATCGTCCACGCGACTTCCGTTGTCCTCTGAGGACTGCGTCCGTTGGCTGAAGAAGGTGAACATCGAGCAGGCGACGTCTACCTGGCTTTCCATCTCTGCTAAAGGAATCAAGTAATGCTGGATGTGATTCGTGTACGGTTTAACCTAATCCGTGACAACTGTTTTAGTATTCGAGATTATATAAATTTTGACGTGTCTGAGCCAAAGACTGTTCAAGAGCCCGTCTGTGAGCTCGACTCTTACGGCTTTATGTGGACGATGGATCATTTGCAAGGTTACGTCATGCGTGATGATAACTCATTGTACAAGGCTGAACGGGGTCTTTTGCAGGTACATGCAGTTAATATTTTTTAACAGATGTTTTTTTCATTTAGTGTATGATATTGTCACTTACTGTATATTTTATTTACATGACGAATTGTTTGTTTACAGCTTTTTCAAAACTTCAGCGGCAAATTCGATGATTCAGTGGACGGAATCGCGAGCAAAATATCTCTGGCTATGGAGGCATCGAAAAGTAAATATAATTTTTATATCGCCTTGCTTTTTGTGTATATTAATCCTCGCACCATTCCATCTTAAACGAAAATAATATTTTTAAAACTTTTTTTAAAGCTTTTAAAGTTACGTGCTTCTTTTCATCGTTTTCAGCGAATCACCTGACGGCAAAGTGTATTACTTATATGATAGGCAGAAATACAGCATCGTTTGTTGACTTCATCATAGTAAAAACAATGTGAAGCGACCAAATTGTGAAATTCCTTCGACTGTCGAAGCTGGAACTTTCATATAAAGCTACTACCTTGCTGTACCGGTTTATACCGTAACATGATCTGTTTCGTATTATCTTTCTATCTGAACACAGTGAGATGATGATCTGAAAGGTTTATGAATATTTATTGAATGAATCAGATGTCATCCCTTAAAGTATTTTTGGAATTTTTTAATAGTTAATGCTGTTGTTTTGGTACTCTTCTGTTCTCTCGATAAGTATCACCCACCCTGTAGGGTACCGAAATGTAACGGGAGGCGGATACCT